AACGAAATAATTCAGTTGAGCCAAAGAAGAAACTCTAGAAAGTGTACTTTATTGATAATCAGGCGTACATCACTCCAAACTAATCGATCTTATGTACATGTACAAAATAACCGAACGAATTAGGCAAATTTAGCCTAATTCTCCCGTATGGTCGATAGGGGTGGATCGTTGAAAAAATATTTAGAAAGTCCTACCCCACTGGTCATCGAGCAGTGGGCATATGTAGCCACTTCCTATGATTACAACACTGGAATTACTCGAATGTGGGTCGATGGTATAGAGGTCGGTGAGCTGGATATTGGAGTTCGTTCACTGGCCACTGACTACGAAGTTAAAATCGGTGCAAAGGAGGATGATGGTAGATACTTCAAAGGGAGAGTTACACGGGTGAAAGTTTATGACGTAGCGTTAACACTGGAACAAGTTTTGGCTGTTCAACATAGAGGGGAAAGCTCGTGAGAACGGTAAAGGATCTACACAGAACTCTACACAGCGGTCAAACGTCGGGCATGCGCGACTGGATCAATTCTGGCCCGCCGCGCAACAATTTCCCGCGTAAAATGTCAAAGGAAAACACAAGAAACAACTGCTGTCTCGCAATGTAAGCGAAAAAAAGTTGAAAACTTCACAGAATCTGTAAAAGGAGACAAAAGTGGAAAAAAGAACTCAAGACTTTAACACAAAGCGGATTTAAGTACGTGTATCCTGTTGATCTGCCGTTCTTTTTTTTAACTTTTTCAACTTTTTTTTTAACTTTTAACTTTGCCAAAAAACACCATGACTTCGTGGCTGGTGTAGTTGTTTGTAATCCTATAAGTCAGCATGGCTCTGACAGCTCGAAGCACGTCACCTAGTCACTACAATAACAAAGTAATGAAAAGAGTGAAGTCTTTTTTAGTAGAACTTCATAAGCTGAGAGAATGTCACAGTTAATCAAGAGATAGTTATCTCCGATGGCTTTACATTTTCTACATACTTCATTACGATCAGGATAGTGAGATATCACATTTATTTTGACCAATTAATTAAGGACACAATGTCATCATCCAAGAGATGCGAAGTTGATTTGTTTTCACTAAAAGGAACCTTGCTGTTCGATTGAATTGATATTTTATCATTGCTAATTAAACAAAGTTAAAAATTAACTCTTATCAAAACAAAACTGCTTGGCAGAATGGAGGGTCCAGGTGGGGTTAGACGTTAGCTGTAACTTGGCTAAAAATTCAACGGCAAGCCCTGATAGCCATCACCCCATTGAGAGTCTCAGAATAGAGATGCTTTTGCGACTTATGAAAAAGCGGAGAAAAAAGCAAATAGAAATCCGACCGTAGCAGTAGTGATGATGTGCTTCTCCGTTGTCTTCAGAAAAGTACGTTATCGTGCCAATTGTTAGCTGTAGGGATTCTTCTATACTACTTTTCTCATCAACCAATAATAAGTAAGGTATCTCCACAAGTCATGATATAACGTGGTTCCGTGCCAAGGTACGTTCCGTTTGCATTTTGCCGCCTGAGGTTTTCTCTTGAAAACATGGCAAGGGCAATAAACCTCCTTGCCTTTTTCTTGATGCCTTCAGTTTATGCAAGTAAGAATACTTATTTTATTTTTGTATTTTGTATTCTTTTCTTCGCTTTTTTAATTAAAGAAGCTCTTAAACAGCAATAATAGCTCGACTAGAAATCAATTTTAAGAATCGTTTTTGTT